ATCTTTCGATGACCTCGGGTCCGGCGATAGCACTTGGTTGCCCAGACATCACATTCTCGATGTCCTGTCCAGTCAAGCCGGTCTGCGCACTAGTCTCGTGATATATACGAGTCTTCTCGACGGTTCTTTGTCTGGGATAGGGCGGTAAGCTTTTATGAGAGGAAGACGAATCTCTCACCATGATGTTTTTCTTCTCAATGCTTCTACTGAGACTAACGTCTCGACTTCCGGATCTACTTCTTGTCGTCTTGTCCGCCTTCTCTCCGGCTTTCGAAATCGTCAATTTACTTTTGTTCCTACGAGGTAATGTTGCGTACGTGTCGAGCGCCTTGTTATCTTGGCCAGTAACTTTATTATCAGCACGTGAGACGGTACTCTTTGCGCAGAGAGCGCGAGAAGTTGACAAAGACGGTACCTTCATTCTCGTTTCCTCGGACGGTGTGGATGCCGGTGTGCGTGCTCCCCGTGTACTGGATGCGGTCCTCGATCTCGACGAATCGTTCCTCATGATTCTCCCGCTACGCTGCGCAAGATCCTTGTTGATCTCCGTAGTCAATGCGGATGGCAGCGAATCGGGTAACACTCTCGTCCTCGTCTTTGCGATCGAAGACGAAGTAGGAGTGGATACCGAACTGGACATTATGTTGCTGGTGGACCGACAACCATACGCCACTGTATTACGACTTCCAACAGGCGTCTTGGAGACATCTCCGAGCGATGAGTTCGATTCTCGAGCGATCAATTTTTCTTTCGATCGTGGTCGATAGTCCCGTTCCCTGTTTGTGCTTTGAGTTTTGGTCATTATATTTCTAGGAGTTGCTGTTCGCGATTTGGACCGCGGCGTCGTCGTGCCCAAGTTCGTGCTCGAGGTTGTGTTTGTTGGTTTTGTGCGAGCGCTCTTCTGCGACTCGGTGTTGCTCGTAATCTTCTTTTTGGTCGCACTCGACGCCGTTGTGGTCCTCTTTACATTCATACGGCTCGTTCGCACGGACACGCTGCCGGCGATGGAGGAGCTTTCACTACCGCCCTCGCTCGTGCCCTCACCACCAGTAGCACCCAGTCGCACGTCGTCTGGCAACGTGGACCCGCATGCATCTTCGTACACTGAGCAGCAACTGACGAGGCTGGATGCGCAAGAAGCGTCATCCAGGCCACCGCAACTGCTCGTGTAATCAATGCTATTTCTACTTCGTACCTGTAAAAAGAATATAATCTAAATGAGTAACTACTTATAGATATGTCCATCATTATAGTGTCTAAATACTTTTAACAATTTTACATGTTGAAATATGAATTTTTATTTTCAAAAAATATTTTCTCGATAAATAAGATTTTTTTTACACTAAAACTCACTCGTGGAACTTCCGTCGCGCAACCTTCAACACCGCTGTCACTACCATCTTTGCTGTCCTTATTTTCAGCCAGCGATTTGTCGTTCGTTTTGTTGTTTTGCGACTCGCTGATATGAATAACAGTAATGTTGCATTCGCTGTTCATAGTGAGATCCGGATCTTCCTCCCCATTGAGAGGTGAAGCAAGATCCTCCGGTACGCCTGAATCCTGCCGCGCTACATTCAGCATCGGTGATGCCACTTTCAGACAATTTTCGGACTCAAAGTACGAGGTCTCCATTACAATGGTATTAAGCAGATCACTCATTTTGTTTTTATCATTTTACCACTGAAAAATATTGTAAAAAAGAGTAAATAAATAAAAAAAAATTAAATATCATTTATTTATATATACCTATATATATGTATATATATATGTATATATATAATAAAAAATAATAATACGTTTTAAAACTTGAGATAACAGTTAAGTAGATATATTTTCAAGGCTCTTATAAAAGTCTTATTATTATAAAAAGATCTATTTCTTTTTACTGACTATTTTGACCACGAGCTTATAAAAGCTAATGTAAAATAAAACTTTTTGTAGATTATGAGACAATACAGTAAACATATTAATTTAATTTTCTGAAATTAGATAGCTTCATTATTAAATCAGGAATTTATCATGTTACAAAAGCTTTTCAAGACCATAAAAAGTCATCCAATATGGACAGTAATGGGCTGAGGATATAGACAGGAGAAATTAACTTGCATGGCGCCAAGTCGATAAAGCTGTTTCGTTCCCGAATCGAGTTATGGCATTCCAATCACGGTCATATTGAATTAGTCGAATGGTACACACGCCTCTTGCGAAGGAAATTATTTCGTAGTCTGGACATGTTTTTCCGATTCGTGTCAATCAAGGAACAGTTCGACGATTAATTATTTTGTAGACAATAATAAAAACTAAGCAAAATATCTAATTCTTATCAATCTATATAGAATGTTATACTTTTAATTCTTTAATTTTGAACAAAAAAAGAGATTCTCTTTGCTACTTACACTTTATGTAAAATTATATTCGTTCATATTTATTGTAGACTCATAAAATTTACAATTTACAAATAATTTATAACAAATAAATATATGTTACAACTTAATGTAATATAATATGTAATATTAAGTTTATGCTGGAAATTCCATTTATTGTTTTCGCGAAAGATTAGTTAAGTTAAACCAACATCCTATATCTCTCTCTCTCTCTTTCTCTCTCCCTGCTCTTTCTTATCAGTTTATCACTTCTTTTTAATCGACATACTTAAACCAATAAAGGCCAGTATTATGTAGACATGAAATCGCAATAAAGCGAAGCGCAACGAGGAGTTCCCCCTGGGCGCATATCTATAAGCACAGCTGATACTTCATAGATTGTTCACACAGATGTTCCGCCATATTATTATATATTGAGTCACTAAATTACTTCTTCCCAATTACCGGATGACGTAGTGTTTTTTACGCATGAATCGCGATTTATGAGAAATCGTACCGAATGACACTGAGAGCGGTCACATGTCAGGAATGTAATTGAGTTAGATTTTGCAAGATAAGATATATGCAGGATGATATCGATGCTAGATATCATGAGCATTTAGAATTTACAAAATTCTTAAAAATAGAAAAAAGGGATGAAAAAAATATATATTTTAGTATATCACGCTAAAAATTTGAGAATTCAAGAAATATACTAAAGGCTATTTATTTAGAAGGTTATATCTTTGTATTATACTTTGAAGTTTAGTCTAATAAAATATTATGTGTTCGTTTTTAGCTCGACTTTATTAAAACTCTTGCTAGGGAAAAGTGTTCTCCACATTCGCTCCAAGAGTACACTTTCTGTTTTAATCTTAAGCATGCACATTTTGGCATTTCTCCTTGATTGCATGGTGAAATCTGCAGTACACATTTGCAATATCCAGAAAATATTTGCATCACTCTCTCCTTCTCTCAAGGAATTATAATATTTCAGAAGAGATATTTATTTTTAACTGACGCCAGCTTTCTAGATGAGATAAAGATAATGAAATCATTCAATTCTTACATTTAAAAAAAAATATATCTGTATTTTATATGCTCTAACAGTTTTTATTATTGAAAGATATAATAGATATATTTGGCACGTAGTTAAAAAACAATTTTTTAAAAATTTATATATATTAAATATCAATAGGTATACATAAAATTTATGCTTATACATATATGTATAATAAAATTTATATATGTACTAGTAATTTCGAGATATCATTGAAAAAGAATTGTGTGTGTGTGTGTGTGTGTGTGTGTGTGTGTGTGTGAGAGAGAGAGAGAGAGAGAGAGAGAGAGAGAGAGAGAGAGAGAGCGCGCTAAATAAGATTGTCAATTAATTCTAAACCCTTTAAAAACTAAAAAGTGACGTTATGATTATATTAAGAAATGTTGTAAAGCCTCTTTTCAGACACTTTAAGTCGGCAAACCGTTTTGTCCTTCGCTCGGACGTGATGAATGACGATGAGAGATTGGCGTGTCGAATTAGAATGAGAGAAGGAGAGAGAAAGAGAGAATGCAGAAAAGGTGAAGCAGAGTCGTAACTAGACTATGAAAAATCTTTTTTAATATCAAAAATTTTTTTTTCGATTTTGTTACATTGCTATATTTACATCGCGCATATTTTTGTGTAAGAGAAACACTGTATATATATTCATATAAAAAATATAAAGAACATGAACTGCAGATATATGAGAATAATTAAGAATTAAAAAGTTGATAAACGAGGACTTAGATGTTTAAATTACATCTTACTTTAATGGAATTCTAATTTGAAATTTCAAACATATATTTTGTAGTTACGATGTTAAAACTACAAGAGACACCCAGTAAACAAGTTGACGTTATTTCTCATTATTTTAACGTCAAAATAACAACGAATAACGTCAGCTTGTTTGTTGGGCAGTTATAGTTAATGATGCAATAGTTATAAACTGCTAGCAATTAGTCTAAAAAGTTACCAATATCAATTTTCTCACTGTTAATAAATATAACAAGAAACAGGATAAAATATTTTATGAAAAATTCTAGCTCTTTTTACACATATAGGAAGAGTATTCAAATTATAAGATATATAAAATAATATTTAAAAATACTGAAATACAATATATAATTATCTTATTTTATCTGTATAAGAAATATATTCAATGTATCTCAACACAATCTAATTATTTGTTAACAGATAAATGATAGATCTATTAATCGTATTCGTCACAGGCATTTTAATTTTTAGATACGACTCTGGTATCAATGAACGCCGAGTGTTTACCGCTGCGGAAGGTCTCACGGGAAGTCCCCCGAGGAGTTATGATAACTGGGACCGATTGTGCTCGGTGAAGAACCCGTCGTCACGCGTGCCCACCACTACGCGAATCGACCGTACGCATTCGTTATTACGCGGCTACAATATAGGGATCGGAGTCGTGTCACGCCGTTCGCCGTAACGTAAATAACTCTCTCGCGTGTATCTGCACGAACATACTTTTTCTTCTCGTGTAATCGCATCTAGAAAGAGGATTTATTTCCCTTTAGTGGCAAACAGCAGAAGCAAGAAGAAACTCTTCGACGAAGCGAAACAGTACCTAATTAGTATAATAATTAGTATATTACTTATATAATAAATCATCTGACAATTGTGCAACAATTGGATAATTGTTATATTTATCACGGAACAAATATCTGTCGAGTAAGATATTTTCTATCGACGGAGAGAGGTGATAATTCTCAATTACCAATGACGATCTCTCGCATCAATGAGCAGTCGGATATGAAGAGGAAGGAACGGAAGATTGAGAGCGATTCTACAAGACATTGGAAGCACTCTTCTGACGAGGATGATGGTATCAAGCGATTCCACGGCGACGGGCTCGTCGTCAGAATGCATTCGAATCACCGTGTGTTGGAGATCACAGGCGATGGTTGCTGGATCGTTCTATCGAAGAATTCTGGCAGCATTCACATCATCGGTGACGGTTGTAAGCTACATGTAAATCATAACGTGGGCGATATCGAATATATTGGCGACGGCGGACGGGTCCTTCTTGGACCGGACTCTTCTAAAGAAAAGGTAAAATTCGTGGGCGACGGCGGAAAGGTGATCCTTGATTCGAGTTCTGAAACAGACTCGAAAAGAGAAAAAGAGAGAGGGTCTACGAAAGAACAAAGAAGTAGGGAGACCTACGTGCAAGACTGTATGTGTCCATTAGAATCTAAGGAAATTATTAACAAGATACCAGAATGCGAAGATGATCACGGAATGCCGCATATGGACAATATCTTGAACGATATGAAGGAGAGGAGTCAAAGGGAATACGGAAAGCGCAACGAGGAAACACGGAAATCCTTGCGGCATCCAACCGTTACGAAGATCATCACGAAGATCCAAAGCGACGGTCAATGCGTAACGAAACGCTTCGGCGATTCTTCGTTGATCGTTAATTCCCGTGGTCGTCCCGTGACGAAAAGTGTGTCGAGAACTTCGGGTACGAATATCGAACTCAAGTGATGTAACTGAAGTTTCTTAGGTGGTGCTACGTAGAAATATCTCTTCCTAGAAAAATAAACGATCAGGCGCGATTAGCAGCTGACTACATATAATTCCACGCAAAGCTCTTATTTGTGTTTCTTAAAACTGCCAAGAATATTTTAATTTTATTGAACATTTTAAAGAAGCTTTCTTAACAAAGTCGAGACTGGTTGCAATTTCGAAATCGATAGCGCTTGAAAGTACAAACTATTAATAGTTACTTAGATAGTCTACTATATTATTAATTGTTACTTCCAATTTATTGGTATCACATTTTTTGTCTATGTGATGTTTTTTATTTATTATTTTAGAAAAGTATGTACACAAAATTGCGAAGTTCCCATGTCATTATCATACATATAGAAATAAATTATTTTGTGAAATAAATAATTTAAAAGAATTGCTTCTTGTGCTGTGTTTCTCTTTAGAATTCTTTAAATCTACATCAAACTATTATTAGTACGAAAACTATGTTCAACATAAATATAAGAAATAGATTTATTAAATGACTGTATTTAATGCTGCCTAATATATTATTCACGCATATAAATCATTGTGTAAATATCTTTTTTCGTTTCCACTTTTTCTATTAATTATAATTTCTACATAAAAAAGTTATTTATAAAATAAATTTAATTTAAATCTTAAATATATTTTACTATTAAGATGGTTAAACTTTTACTAATTATTATTACTCTAATTTTGAAATCCAATATAACTTTTAATGAATATTTCGTTAATTCCTACATCAATAATTATAAAAATAATTATTATTAGTAATACAATTATTATATATTAATTAAACAAAAATTATATACGAAGTTATTTATGCGCTAAGTCAAATTCATCTACCTTGTATTCTAGTGTATTAAACTGAAACGATCTCAGAGATCCAAATAATAAATAAGGAACGTAATAAATCTACTCACCCAAACATTAGCAAGTTTCAGTATTTTACATACGAAATAAATGTAGAAAATAGCGATGAGAGACTAAACACAAAGTCGATTTAAATTTAGACACGAATAAAGCTAGCAACGCCGTTTCTTAAGAGCACAGTGTGTGATCGATAGATAGGATATCGGTTGTAAACTATTCCTGGCAACCATACGAAGCCCGTAACTGGAAAATTTCTCTGTCCGAAGATATGGATGTATAAAATTACGACACTTTCAGTCGGTTGGTAAACAAAAGTCCTCCTCAATTGTATCATGTGTTCCTAAAAATACGATAAAGATATATTTTAATCAATTAATTAAAATTTTCAGTTTTTGAAAAAAAAGTTCCAAAAGTTATTCGACCAACTTTCTATCAAAATAATAAATTCCGAATGCAGCTTATTAATGTTACTCTCGTGTGAATCTGGGAATTAAGAGATTAGTACTTTGTTTGGTACCCCCTTAATGTAAATTGCAAGCGACTGAGTGCACTGGATACAACGGTTACCGAGATATTTCAGTAAATGGACGGCGGTCACACATGGGGCAACTGCTGCGGGGAAGATAATTCTATTTATGAACGACAGTAATCCTTAGTATTCTTGAATATCGCAGTACGAGAGATTAGTCCCGCGATTTACGAGAACTTCCTCCCTGAGATCTACAATGCCATTTCAATATTTACCTCTATAAAAATGCTCACTCGCATTTTTAGACTTCCACAGGATTTTCGGGTAAAATAATATTTCTTAGATTTTTTAAAAATACGAATTCATATGCGAAAGAAAATGTTCCTTTATCATATATAAATATCTTGATTTACACATCTTAATCATGAACGAAAAGCTTTTTGTTGTCTGACAATGAAAGTAGAAAGAATTAAGGAAAAATTAAGGAACAGTCGTAGAATGCAGGAAACGCTAATGTGAGACGATTGTCGGTAATTGACGTGTGCAATGTTGCTGTTGTTCGCGTAGCATGTCAAAGAAATCATCAAAACATGGCTTGTGAAAGCAAAGAGAAGTGAGAAACATTCCATTCCTTCTTTCCCTCTCAAGAGACTCGATTCGGAGTCTCGAGTTCAGTCCCGGTTCCTTCTCTTTCTCTTTCTCGGGGTCCATGCCATGTGGATATATTTATCGTCTGTTCGCTAAAATCATTCCACGCGGCTCGCTTATGCGAACGAATCTTATCCAGTGCATTTGCTACATGCTGCATGTGACTCGCTTCTTCGAACATTAGTATGTCAAATGTTTGTACAATGTAGAGAGACTTGCTGTTTTCCTGGTACAGTAATTAAAATAGATCTTAATAAAAGTAACTTTTCTAAAACTATTCTACTTTGATACTTGATGGACTTAAATAAAAAGATACACAGGTGCAAAAAGTTTTCATATGTACTAAGCGAAGAAAGTTGTTTTTCGCGTAATGTACAGGATTAAAAAAGAAAGAGAAAATCTCAGAATTCTTCGCGAGTCCCAGTTTATACATAATTGCTGTAATAAAAAAAAAACATGTAAAAACATATCAAATTACATTAAATCACCATATACGTGTCGTGGGGGCTGTACCGGCGGCAAAAGTACGTGAAAGTTTTTAAGGCCACTCGTTAACTGACCGAACATAATTATCGTATAAGAGATCTTCGACACCGCGTATGGACTTGCGCTAATTAGCGAATTAATAGGCGAGCGGAAGCTCGCGATCGCATCACCGTAACAGCCATAAAACGTCTCACCCGCGCGCGCTTTTCTCCGAGACTCATTCGCCTTAGATTATTCCGCGCGACCGCAGAGTTTCCTTTGCACGGACGCGAAAGTAAGATACAATTTCATCCTACACGTCGGAACATGACTTTTTTTTTAATTACTTGCTGTAACGCGAAAGCTTGTGATCTCGTCACGTTGCAGAAGTTAGATATACGGCCAGGATCATCCGGCCACGTTGCTTTACTCAATTATCCTATTCTACAATCACAAGAGATGTTAGTATTCATGAGCCATAAGAAATTGAATCACGGTTGAATATGAGAAAAATAATTGACTGTGATTGGTTAATTTCTTACAGCTTACGCCTTGCAACCCTGTTGTAGAATAAGCTTTAGTTCTTTCTTTCATTTGCGACTTGCGTTCGCTTTGGCAAACGACTCTATCGTCAGAGTGATAAATAAGTTGGCGGCTTTCTATCTAAATTGCGTTCTCACAAGAGTAATGCATTTAGAAGATACGAGATCGAGAGCTATTGTTCGACGATTAATTCCCCGTAACGCAGAAAAGCGGGATGGAAATTAAAAGCAAACTTTCAGTGTTTTCTTTCGGACGACGTGTATATATATATAGTGACCATTGAAGATATTCGACCGCGCCGAAACAAATTGCGTTAAAGACCAGGACGACCGGTATTCATAATTCGTCCTTATTTTAAAACTATCTCAAGTAATGTTTGAGATGTTAATACAGCTCTCTGATTACTTCATAAAAGTTTAAGGACTGTACTTGAGATAATTTTAAATATAAGAATCGAATACGAATACCAGTCTGGATTGCACCCGAGGATTGAGGAACCAGTCGAGTCCACAATTTGTACGATCCATTCCAGATACGACATTTTTAAATTCCTCTTGCAAATCGGATTTGTAGATTAAATCCACTTTCACTCTTGAAATTTTATATAAATCAGAAGTGATGAAACACTGTAGGTACACTGCTCGAGATCGTCAAGCAAAAAAAGAAAAGGCAATAAAGGCAAACAATTATGCGGAAAATACGCGCGTTGTTTCTTATTCTAAGAATATTCATACGTCGTAATAATATTTGCTCGATTATCTATTGTAGGTACATGTGTGATTTGATCGTATTTAAATCATTATCCTTAATTTATCTCGTCAGTTTTACTTATAAACAACCACACGTTTCCGAGTCTTTCTGCGATGCGATTCGATTTAACGATTTGTTATGTAAACAGAATCTTGATGACGTAACATAACTATAAACACCGTCTGTTTTTAACTGCACTTTCTGCGCTCGAAAAACGAACGAATCTTCCCCTTTTTGGAGAAAAAGCTCTTCTTTCTCAGACAAAAAAAAAGAAGAAAAGAGCAAGAGACATCTGTAAGCGAGCATCTGTAAGCAATTTGTTCTCGACCACATACTAAGGATGAAAGAGAAAGCTAAGATCAATCCTGCGATTTATGAAAACTTTCCTCCAGATTTACATGAAAGATATTACCATGATGACAATTATTCTTCCTCTGAATGTTTTATCTCAAAAAAAAAAAAAAAAAAATGATCCTCAACTCTTACGCATCAATTCAGAAAAAACCAACTAACAGTAATACAATTTCCAATACTAGTATTACAATTTCCAACATTTTAAACATATAACTCTATGTTCTATGAAACAGTTACATTGTTGAGTATGAAATTATAACAGTGATGTTGTTACTGTTAGTTGGTGTTTACTGGGGACATCTGCCTTGCAGCATTAAGTAGATATATACAGTGGAGCAGCTGCATTCATTTTCCTTTTTAAAATTTAAAATTATTAATCCCCAAGACTTCACATAAATATTATCTCCATAATTGAAGGTTCAACGCTAACAATTATTTAAAAAAATATAAAATTATAAAAAATATTAAATTATATAGTTTTTGTCTCTCTTATTTTGAAACTTTAATCAATTATATATATTTTCTAAAAAAAAAAAACAAATAAAACTTTATCTAAACACAATTAAAAATAAAACAAAATGCAGCAGTATAGAATGAAGATTATTTTTGCAATTCCCTTTTCTTTTGTATTTAAAAACAAGAGCCCTCAGAATTCAACGCAGCAACGCCTACAGTTAAAGATTGAATATCAAGAATTATCTTCTTTTAGATGTACAGAATGATTAAGGATTGAATGTCAAGGATCATGTAAATATAGCGAGGTAGCTCGTCCATGTTTTTCCACGCTAATGCTCGACGTGTACGTCATAATTTTTGCCAGACGTCGCGAAAATTTGCCCCAGAACGTCGTCGTCAATGATCGAAATGGGAT